CATAATACTTTACGTATACATTATGATATTGAAACATAATTATATGATGAGATGTTCTAAAATATATTAGAAAATTTTTAATTTTTTACTAAAATACATTAAAAAATTTTTATTTTTTTTACTACATTCTATTCTTTCCTTATATGACAATATACTCTCAGTAGTTATATGAGTGTCTTAGACCACTCCTTTTATCTCGGAAAGCATTTAGAAAAAAAACGTTTCAGACAAAAATTGTGGGATTCTAAATGATCTATTTAGTGATCTAATCAGTCTGATTTTGGGTGGTGTCATCAAAGTCAGAGCAATATCACTTTGAATTTTTTAAATGAAACCTCCTATTTTTTATTGCATATTCTTGTAGCACACCTCGAGAGCTTTCCAAAACACTATAATAAAATAATTTTTTATTATGTACTTTTCAAGTTATAAGGCTTGAAAGTTAGGGTATCGCCGGCATTAGCATTACGCAAGACGATGGTTAAAACCTCTTGAATGTCGTTCAGCATCATGTCTTGAATAATCTTTGTTAAGATCAAGATTATTGATGATAGTTTTTCTTATTTTCATTTTTGCACTGAAAATTTATTTTTATGTAAAAATGAAAAGAAAGAGAAACAATCTCCAGTGACCTCTATCTTAACAAATATTATCCAAGACATGATCCTAAACAAAGGTTTTAGCTGTCGGTTGGATATCTTGCGTAATGTTAATGTCGGCGGTACTGTAACTTTCAAGTTTTGTCTGAAACGTTTTTTTCTAAAATGTGTGTCTGTTTCCGAGATAAAAGGAGTATATAGATGGTCTGAGACATCCTGTATATAAAGAAAAAAAATTAATGTATCCGATTCCAAACTGCACTTGACATATTTAACTAATCGTTTGCTGCCACACAAGTATTGTCCTGTTTTTGTTTCATGCAATAAAAAGAAAAATGGAACAATGCTGTATCGATTTGTGTCACCAGATAGAAAGCACCTGATATCAGCCTTTTTTCAGTATGATCACTTCATGAAAGCACGCAATGCACTGTCACGAAAGGGTAGTTCATTGTACCAGAGTTGAATATGAAGTAGAGCCTGAGCAAACCTTCGAAAACGTTGGATGAATAACGCGATATTACAACTGCTTTGAAAGGGTTACATATCCAATCAATAATTGTTCGCTGCGAATTTATATACCAATTATGCAAAGAAAATGTTGCGTGTCACGAGAAGCATAAATTCACTGTAATTACCAGATGTTCTTTTTTATTCGATATGCATGCTTCTCATACTTTTAAAACTGATAAATATAAAACTTCGCTGAAAGTAAAAATAAGTACTTTTCAGTATACATATAGAAAATATATAATAACATATACAGAAAGAAAAATTATAGAAAATTATATGATACATTTAAAAATAATTTGATAACAGTCTCAGATTTTACATAAACATTGATTTTATTTACTAAATCTTATTTTCAAGATATATTTATGTATTCTACAAAATATATATTATGCATATTCTTTACGTTTTTTCACTAACCATGTTTTACATAGTCATTGTTCGCAAGAAATTTAAATATACCATAGAAGTTTTAATTACCTGAAACAAATATGCTTGTTTTTACACAATGCAAAGCAGTATATATCATTCTATAAGATACATTAAAATTTGAAATTTTTAATTATGCATGCTTATATAATTAAATATATGGACATAATAGATAATTCAATTCAGCAATCCACTTCTTTTAAAATGATTATACTTCATAATTAATAAAATATATGGAAAATTAGTTTACTATTTAATAAAATAAAGAAAAGGTGTATTTGTATAACTTACATCACCAAAAGTTGTGATAGATAAATGGAATAATTTTCCTGCTGTAAACTTAATTACATCATTTGATCGGGCGATAATTAGAATGAGATCGCGTGCAGTTTTGTGATGTAGATTGTACCAGTCAGTCATATATGTCATTTCTCCGACCAGTTTACACTAACAAATTGACACAAAAGTAAAATTTTTTACAAAAGAATTTAATAATTGGATTAATTAAATGTTAAAAATAAGTATTTATTCGCTGAAAGTTAGATAATCACAATTTAGCATTTGTTTTCATTAATCTAAGAGTATTACATTACACTCTTTCTAAAAATATTGACTGCGTTGAGCAAAGCTGCGCAGTAAGTGATTCTTTATTATAATACACGCACACATTATTTCCATTAATATACCTATTAAAAAGTTAAAAGTAGAAACTAATCGCGTTTATTTTGCAGTTTTCTTTTCTCTGCACTCTAATTAGATTATAGTTTCAAATCTAGAGAAAGCGGTCTCTCTCACACACAACGAAGAAAACTTATAATACTTCCAATTAAACTATTATGTATTGAACATGATCAATAATTATTTAAAAAATGTCTAAATCAGACGTGTCCAGTATCTAACGACAGATTAGTATTGTTTTGTTGTCATTGCACAAATAATATGGCACAAAAAATTATACAACAACAT